GAAACATTAAGCTAGTTATTAAAGATATTTTTTCTGGACTAAGTATAACAAAAATTAAATAAAAGTGTGTAAATAAGACAATTAAAAACGAAAAAGAATGGGAGCCAAGATAATAAGTAGAATTGTAACTTCTTAATTCATTTCATGCACAAAACATAAAAATGTCATTGAAGATTCACTTTTTGAAATGTCCCATTTTCTTTCCTGCAGATTTGGCGGCAAAAAAAAAAAAAAAAAAGACACAATGAACATTAGTGTAAACCATTTTTGTCAAATTTTTTGATTTTTAATTCAAATCATTTTTTTTTTAATATATGGAGTTAAAAAAATATTTTGTTTATTAAATATTATTTTAAGCATAAAGGCAGCGGTCATACTTTTTCAATTATTAAAATCTAAAACTGTATCTGTAATATGTATAAAAATCTAAAGTTTTTTTGCTTGTATTACCATAACCCTGACCATATATTTAAAAATATGAATAATTTTTAATATTAGTGAACACAAAAAACCCGCCAAATCTACGAACAACTAATTCTAATGGTTCCAAAGATACTAACCAAAATTTCTAGAGTATTTAAAAAATACTAACCGAATGTCCTGAGTATTCTGTTGAAATATTTTAAAAAATTGTATTATTTGAATTTTGTTACGTTTTTGTGAGATTTCTAGCATAAATTATTTTAAAAATATACTATCAAACAAACTATTATTTTAATTCTTAGAGCCACATCTACAAAGCTATAAATGTTTTAAACTAACATTATTTGTTTACAATAATAAATGTTTAAAATTTATATTTTTTAACTTGTCAACGTTTTGTAAATATATTATAGATTTTATTAGTATATTCTTATTTTTTATATATAAGGGATGTATTTTTTATGTATATAATGTATTTTTATGTATGCAATGTATTTTTATCTATGTAATTTTATGTATGTGTATTTTATTCAAATGTAATTTTTTAAAGCAATTTGTGCGATTGATTTTGTAAAATACTTTCAATAATAACTGCGTTTTCAATGAAATTATTAATATTTGTCAGAGTTAATACAAATAATTTTAACCACTAATCAATTTTCCTCAGTGTACCTGATAACTGATTCTTTCCCCCAAGAAAGAAAAGTTTTTAAGTTCTTAAAAATTGGTTTACTACCTTCAATTATTTTTGCTTCAGCCATTCTTACAAACTCGTTATACTTAAAGTTACTTTTTTCTGTTTTAAATACTAATTAAAATTATAAAGCCCACTCACTAAACATCATCAGCGTTATTGTGAAGCAATTCCGCTTCCTCCTCACAAAGTAATTTAATGTTTTTAGTTAATTTTTATCTAGCTAATTGAATTTATAGAGTAATTCGATGATTTAATTATTTCATTTGTTTATCTTACTAAGAAGAATTCTTTCAAATGTGTTAAACTTTTTAAACTACACGAAGCATAAAACAGTTATTAAAAAAACTTTTTTATTTATAAATAAATCATCTAGCGTTAGTTTTATTGGTTGAATCTTGTTGGACTTTTCATGGCCGGGGGCTGCATTATTTTGGTGGCCTTTTTTATGTGCCACAGCATAAAAATGACTAAAAAAAATACCAAATGGTCCTCTTGACTATTTCCCCTAACATTATGAGTCCCGGGGCTATAGCCCTACTACCCTTACCCCACCTCCTTAATTTGCAACTGGAAATAAGACATAAGTATATAAATAAAAATTATATATACTCTGATAAATTGAAGAACATTTGTTTCTTTATAGTTGTTACTTTATATAAAAAATGTCGCTTAATTTTATAAAAAAAATTATAAAAGAGCGACATTTCAAAAATAATTGCTCTAATAAATTTATTTTGCTTGAAGTTTTTTTGCGTTAAAAGCTTTTTTCCTTTTTTTAACTGTCTCTCATTGGTCCAGTTAATCTTATTGCGCTTTTTTTGTTTGTTTTTGAAATGTTCTTAAAACGACTATAAAATCTGGCCGGTTTTTCGCAACTAAATATTCTTTCCGTGGTCAATTATCGAGTGCGATCGCACCCGCTTTCCGACCAACCCTATATATATATATATATATATATATATATATATATATATATTATATACATATATATATATATATATATGCGGTAGTGGTGTAGTGGTAGAGCGCTCGCTTCATAAACGAGTGGTTCCGAGTTCGATCCCCACCACGTCCCTGGTAGTACCACACTCAACTCGTTTCTCCGCGCAGCGGCCTTGTTCGTCAGGGTTCGTGTTTCGGAGTTAAAGAGTTGAGAGAGGGTTATAGCCACAAATAAGTAGCCTCCTCGTCTGTAGTGGCCTTCTCGGCCTTGAGGAGGTGAATTAAAATAAAAAATATATATATATATATACATACATACATATATATATATATATATATATATATATATATATATATATATATATATATATATATATATATATATATATATATATATATATATATATATATATATATATATATATATATATATATATATATATAGATATAGATATAGATATAGATATAGATATAGATAAAGATAAAGATAAAGATAAAGATATAGATAAAGATATAGATAAAGATATAGATAAAGATATAGATATATAGTCTTGCATGGTAGTCAGAAAGTTTTTCCCATAAACTGTTGTTTTTAATAAGCCTGACCAGAAAATGTTAAAAAACTTCAAAAAAAAATTTTTTTTTTTTTTTTAATGATAGGCTACCTGCCCAAACTAAACTCTCAGTTTCTCTGACTGCGAGTCAGGCTATTTGTCAGTCGATGTAGCAGCACTCCCTTGCGCGTCAGGCTATTTGTCAGTCGATGTAGTAGTACTCCCTTACAAGTCAGGCTGTTTGTCAGTCGATGTAGCAGCACTCCGTTGCGAGTCAGGCTATAAGATAGTCGATGTAGCAACACTCCCTTGTAGCAGCAGGCTATAAGATAGTCAATGTAGCAACACTTACGCATGTTTTAAAAATCTTTTTTAATAAAACAAAAACAAAAACACCACTAATTTACAAAAATCTTTCTAGTCATTATTATTGCGGTTTTTTTTAAAAACAATAAAATTTAATGTACTTCCACATTAATTTAATTGCTTTGACATTTTGAAGACAATAAAATGCAGCTTAAGAAACAAGGTAAAAAAATTGTAGTTAAAAGAGACTTTTTTTACCATAAAAGTCTATTTCGACTACACTATAAGGATATATATATATATATATATATATATATATATATATATATATATATATACATATATATATATATATATATATATATATATATATATATATATATATATATATATATATATAAAAGAACATATAAGTGTGACCTGTGTGTCTGATGGAAGATACCTTATTCATTATATTTCTAAAACCATACCGCCAAGCATTTAAAAATTTTTTTAAACAATATTGTTTCCCAATTAGATTGCACTCTGGATATGACAATTGTAAAATCAATTTATCAATTGTGCTCATCTATTTAGAAAATTATAAAGCTCAAATAAAAGCCACTGTAGTCATAAATTTTGTAGTCATAATGTCAAAATCAGCTTAACATTGATTTTTTATGTTTTTAAGCTAAAAAAGAAACCATATAAAATCAATCAATGATTAAGTACCAATATTGAAAAAAAAGAGTTTATGAACAAGAAAATGACAGAAGACTGTAAGTTGTACAAGTCAGGAAAACAGAAAGGGAAATAATTCCAAAACACAGATATTACAGATAAAAAGTAGAAAAAATGGACTATAAAAGAATGCAACTTAGTTGAAAGATTGTGTTTTGGTTGGTGGAGTGTAAGATGAAATCTTACTTAATCAGCAACCATGGTAGTATTCATAGAAAAAAGAAAAAGATGCAACCTCATCATTAGAAAAACCAGCCCAAATCTTTTTATATTTTTTACATTTATACTTCATACAAAATAAATAAAAGATTTATAAAATCAAATCAAAGAAGTAAGAAAATAGTAAGCACAATGATCAGAGGCAACCTTAGCAGATGCAAACTTTCCACATGCTAACTTCACAATAGATTGGATGTATGTACAAATAGCTACAGATGTAAAGCAATCACAAATTGCTACAATTGAGTTCAAATACAACAACTATAAATACTAAAGCACATATGCTGCAAATATAGACATTAACACTAAAGCATATATGCTGCAAATATAGACATTTACACATGCGTACATGCATAACAACTGCTTTATTTTGGAAATTATCATAAACTCAAAATCCAGAATAATTTTTTTATATTTCATACCCAGCTTCTTATGGTTACTATGGTGCTCCGAGAAAATCTAATAGTTTTGTCACAAAGAACCATGGAGCATGTTACAAGTAAATTCATGCTGTCTTCCTTACCAATGAGGCAAATATGTTAAGAGCTGGCATCAAACCTCAAACTTCTAAAGCTAGCACTCTAACCACTGCATCACAACATTATACTCCAGCACAAACACAGTACTACATTATGTCTTATTAAAATGACAATAATTAAAAAAAAAAAACATTAAAAATTTATACTATTTATAAAATAATTTGAAAAAAAAAAATTGAGTAAAAGCTTCATAGAGGTCAATTAATAATTAATTGGCCTTCTTGATAAAAAAAAAAATTATATAAACTTTTGTTATTCATTTTATATTGTTTAATAAAACAAAAACAAATAATTACAAATTTTTAATATTTTATTCCATTTATCAGATTAATCTGATTGAAGGAGCACAGAGCAGTTCGATCATCATGAATGAGTTAAGGAGAGCAGTTCGATCATCATGAATGAGTTAAGGAGAGCAGTTCGATCATCATGAATGAGTTAAGGAGAGCAGTTCGATCATCATGAATGAGTTAAGGAGAGCAGTTCGATCATCATGAATGAGTTAAGGAGAGCAGTTCGATCATCATGAATGAGTTAAGGAGAGCAGTTCGATCATCATGAATGAGTTAAGTGGTTACTAAATAATAAATATGGTATTACCTTAAAAAAAAGTTCCAGTAAACTAGGATTTAGAATTATCTCTTGCCAGCTTTTGTTTGGTTTAAAAATCACTTTTTGCATAGTTTCATTTAAACATGGAATTCGAAGTTGAGAAAGAGGTAGTCTTATGTTAAAGAAGTTATATGACATAAAAATTATATAAATATATTTGTTTCATTAAAAAGCAATAAAAAAAAAAGTATACTAATATGTATAAATTCATTCATATCATTTTGTACTTCCTAGTAGGAAACAAGGTTATACAATAGACCAATGTATTCGTTTTTTCTATTTTTGTTATTAAAACGAAAAGTATTATTGTTTTTGCTAGTTTTTTTTTTTTTATTATTTTGTTATTGTAAAATTGTTCTGTTATTCTAATTGTTCTTGTATTATAATTTATTACTTTGTTATTGTATAATTGTTCTGTTATTATTTATCAATAGTTTACTAAGAAATAATTTTATCATATTTTGCTCTTTTTTTAATTTTTTTTTTTTTTTTGTCTTATTCTATTGCTATGGTGATAAGATTATTCCGTTGTGATAACATTATTTTGTTGCAGTATGTTAACATTGATAATTACTGAGATAATTATATTTAAAAAATTTGAATTTGCTTTTCATCATATAACTATAATCAAATAAAAATATAACCAATTAAATATTCTGCAGATAAAGCAAAAGATAATGGTGATGCTGGTAACAATGATAATGGTGCAAACAACTGCAATTAATGCTGCTTTTAATGATAATGGTACTAAAGGTTCTGATAAAATATAAACTAATGCTAAATAATGAGTAAAAAAATCAAATGACAGTTATTATTTTGAGATCATTTTTTATACTTTTGATATATCTTACTGTTTAGTTTTGCCTCACTGTTTTTTTCCTAAATATATGGTGATGGACTGATGGAATAATGGATGCTATGATGGACTGATAGAATGATGGATGCTATGATGGATTGATGGATGTTTTAAACTAATTTAAACTTTTAATTAAAATATTTTACATTCTTGCTTTTTATATTTTACAATACAAAAGCAATTTACATATTATTTTACATATTACATATTATTACATACAATTTACATATTATTTGTAATTTTTTGTTGAAAAGATATGATTTCCACATAAGAACTCCCAATGAAATATTTGCTCAGCTAAAGATAAGAATCTGTTAAAAACTGCTTGATCTTGTCGAGTTAGAGATTTTATTTCTTTATTGGCGTACTTCTGAAGAGTTTGAATTGTCATCATAAAGATTGTTAAAAGATCTTTAGTCTTAAAAAAAAAAAAATTACAAAAGAAGTTATATAAATTAATCATAAAAAAAGGATTAAAACATTTTAAAAATAGAATATAAAATAGTTATAAAAAATAATAATAATAAAAATACTTTTGAAGCAATTGGAGCAAGATCTTAAATATTAATTATAATGGTAGATAATACGAATTTATGATTTTAACATTTTTTATTGAATTTAGAAGTTTGTAACAAAAAAAATCTTTTCTTTTTTTTCTTTGTAATTAAAATTAATATTATTTACATACTAATGAATTTGTGTTTTACACTATAAATAAATTCTAAATAATAATCTTTAATGTGTTTAAATACTTACAAATCATAGCAAACAATACATAATAAAAAAAGCATAACATAATATCAAGAGCCATCTTTATCTACCAAGTTTAAAATTGTTAAAAAATTATTTTCATTAAAAAAATCATTCTTAAATTATTTTCTCAAAAATCATCTCCAAAATAAAGTTTTCTCAAAAATCCAAAGTTTTTATTGAGAATTTAATTGAGTATTTTGCACTTTTGTTTATTTGTTAAAATTTCAATTTGTTTTATTTATAAATGAAAAATAAAATTGATGTTTTTTAATTAAGTTTTACATGCTTTTTGACATAAATTTAGCGCAACTCATTTGCGCATATTGTGAATATCAAATAGTTGCAAAATGCACACAAAAAATGTCTTTCAAATACATGTAGTTTAAAAAAAACTAATATATAATTCTTTTTTAGAAAAAACAAATCAATTATTTGTAAAATTATATTCAAATCCAATAACATGCTATTTAAACTCATAAACATTTTATTATATCAAATTTTGAATTATTGCATCAAGCAACAAGTTATTATACCTAGTAACAAGTTATTATATTTAATAACAAGTTATTTTTTCTAGTAACAAGTTATTATACCTAGTAACAAATTTTTATACCTAGTAACAATTTATTGTATCTAGTAAAATTTTTATAGCTTTTTATAGTAAGATGATTTCATACCTAGTAAAATGTTTTTACACCTAGTATACACATGTTATACCTAGTAACATGTTATTATACCTAGTATTAAATTAGTATATTTAGTAAGATGTTATTATACCTAGTAACATGTTATTATACCTAGTATCGAGTTATTATACCTAGTAACATGTATACTAAACCTAGTAATTAGTAAATGACCAGGATTGATATTTGACCGGAGTCAGGTTTGATAAAATATAGCCAGGGCCAGGGCCAGGTTTATGGGGATAAACATTTATACATGCTAAAGTATATTTTTTTTATTCAAAATTCATGTTATATTTTTTATATATATGAATATATAAACATCATTATGATCAACATGATTATCATAATTGTCATTATTATCATGATGATGATGATCATGATGATCACGATCATCATGATCATCAACAACATAAAATAGAAATGCTAAAGCCTGATGATGATGATGATGATGATCATCATCATCATCATCAGGCTTGATCATGGCTTATAATCATTATCAGATCATGATGATGATGATCATCATCATGATCATTATCAGCTTCCATACCTTTAGCCTTCCTCTTTTATGCTATTTCACTAATATAAACCATCTAAATCATTTTTTTTTTCTTAACTAAAGCTAATTCATACAATATGTAAGGCACTCTAAGTTTTTTTATTATCACTACCATTTTCTACTGAAGCTGGTATCTCTCTACATGCTGATGCCTATATTACTTTAATCTTTTCTAGAAAACATTGTTGGATACAATGTTTTTTCAAATCTGTCTAAGAATATGCCTTTTTTTTTTGTCTTGCTTGAGTTACACCACACATCCATCTGATCCTCTTCTCTTTTGGCAAATATTATTCCATATAAATTTTAAAGTTTATGTAACAATAAAAGGATATTTTATGCCGGAATCTAAATAACTAGTAAACAGATAAGTTTATAATATGTATGCATAAAGTGCATCTTGAAAGCTTTTATTCCTTCTGGAATAAATGTTTGGAAGCTTTTACTACTTCTCTTCAACTTTAAGTCAAGCCTCATTCTACTCCATATTTTTCACTATCTTTAGCAGTTGCTTATTAAACATTATTCATTTTTTAAATCTTTTTTACAAGAACATCTTTCTTAAGAACAAATGTCCTTTTAATATTGCAAAAAACCAATATAAAAAAGTCCTGTCTGACGTTAAGCTCTGTTATTCTCAGTTTACTAAATCTTGTATCTTATCTCAAATGTCAGGTCCCAGAGACTTTTGGTAAGTCTTCAACAGTATCATTAACTAAAGTAAGTCTAACATTTAGTCTCTTATTCATGTGTCTGATCTTTTTACTTCTCCCTAGAATAAAGCAGAGTTATTTGCAAAGAAAACTTACCCATATGTGACTCTTGAATATAATGGCCATACTCTTCCTGACAGTTGAACAGATTATCTCATTGTTATCCAAGTCACTCTGGCTGTTAATGCTAAAGTTAATGCTCCAAAATAGATTTCCATCATTGTCTTTAAAAAGTGTTCTCCAGAACTCTTTTCAATTATTGCTAAACATTTATAAAGTGCTAAATAAGTAGTTCAAATTTTTCAAAACTCTAGAAAACACTTTGACCTCTCAGAATATCCTACAATCAGCTTTCACTATTTTATTAGTTTCTTCATATAAAGGTTTTGAGGTTATTAAATGATTTTTTTCTAACTGTAGTAGTAAAGTTATTATTGAAGGCCTACCATCTTCTTTATTCTAAGTAACTTAAAGGTTCTACCTTTGCTCCAGTATTGTTTCTTATCTACAATAACGATCTTCATGAAATACAAAGTCTATTTGCTGACGACTTAACTTAATACTATTCTTTTCACTTTATTCTGTAACAACCTAAGACTTGCAGTGGCTTGTAGATTTTAAGTCTGGATTTAAAATCCACAACTTTTTTTAGACAACAAAACTCATTTATTTACTGCAAAAAAAATATTGCAATATTGTTGGCATTCCTATATTGATAAATAACAACCTTCTTACCCTCAGACAAAGTCTAAAAGCACATTGTAAATGTAATTAGACCTGCTTTATCTCCCAAGCTTGAGCCACGCTCCCATTGTTGTAAGGTTGCAGTACTTTCTTTTTTCTACAAATACAATCATGGTCAATGCTCAAACAAGCTATCATCTCTATTACAATAAACAAAAACTCATTCTTGTTTGTTTCTTATTCAATAGGTTGCATCTTTTTACTGTATCTGTCCCTCCATGCTACAAAAACTTTTTAATCCAGTTTTTTTTCCTTGCACATCAAAAAAATCTTCTATTAGCCATCTTCATGTTTTTCTTTTATATACAACCTACAACTTTTCAAGACTTCAGTTAACGATTTCCTAGTATTTTTACTTATTCTCTATTTTAACTCATAACTAAATAGTGGTTGCTTGCAATCTTGTTAGAAGTAAATTAGAGTTGAAAAGTACATAAATTTATGCTAGTATTTAATAAATAGTAAATGTAAGCATAAAATTTTAATAAAGTATTATAAATTTTTTTATAATCCTGGCTATCAATCACTGCTAAATCTTGTAGTTCAGACGAGGCCCGGTTGGAAAAAAGTCTCATTTTTAGCCGGGGCTGGGGCCCGGGTCACTTACTACTAGTAATATGTTATGATACCAAGAAACATTATACCCAGTAATATGTTATTATACT